CCCCCCCAAGACTCGGGAGGCACCAGTCACCCATGCCTTCCTGCGTTTTGAAATGAACTGGTAGTGATCACCGGGAGCCCTGTCTCCCTCCAAGGGTTCCCTGACAATGAGGTGAAACTTGTGTGCCACACAGCCAACTTTGTTGGCATCACACACCGCCTGACCATTTTGGCCCCTGTTGTCAGTGACCATGAACCTGCAGGTGAGCTTGCCCTGCCCAATAAGCCACCCCTGAACTATGCGGTTCATGGCCACCATGATCTCCCTTGCCATGTGGAACCCATCCATCACCTCCACTTGAAGGAGAGCCCACTGACGCCCTGACTGATTGCACCAGTGCCCAGTGAGGGAGAGGTAGGCATGATCTCCACCCCAGCTGCTCCAGATGTCCAAGATGAAGTGAAGTGTAAGGCCACCTGCAGACGTGCCTTGCGCGGCTCCTCCCTCAAGTACTCTCTGCATGCCCACTGTCCTGCTAAAGGTGGTGTGTGCAGGCACTTAGTATGACTGGGACACGAGTGCCATGAGCCACCTGAACCCTGGATATTCAAAGCAGGTGTGGCCATCCAGAACAAGCATCTCCCCAGTGCTCTGGGTGACCTTGCTCGCCTTTAGAATGTGCCCCCCTTTGTCTCCGCCTTCCCCCCACTGGTCCATGGAGGCCTGCTTCTTGAGGACAAGGGCTTTGGAGCGAGAGGGGGACTTCCCTTTGGACACATTCCCACTAGTGCCAGGCTGAGGAGGAAGAAGGGCAAGGGGGTGCTGCCTCCCGAGATGCTGCAGCATCACCATGGTGGTGAAGTGTTTCACCTCCTTGCCCCAGCTGATCTGCCTTCAGCAGTACTGGCAGGCAGCGTACCTGGGATCATCTGCCACCTCAAAATTATCCCACTACACTACCCACCTGCTTCTGGGTTGAGGGTGGGGATCCTGCCATATCCCCCTCCTCACCAGGCAGAAGCACAACAACAGAAGGAGTTGAGTCACCTGCCCCCACAACTTCCTCTGATGTGCCTTTCAGAAAAAGAGACCTGCCTTTAGGGGAACTCTAAGGGGTGTGGAGCAAAAACTCAGATTCCCCCTCCTTCGCAGAATTTCCTTCACTATGGCCTTCAGCTCCTCTGCTTCCAGATCCAGCTCCTCCTCTGGCACTGGAAGGCTCACACTGGGAACTGAAATTGGGTTGCAGAATGTCATGTTGCTGCTGGTTAGTAGTGGTGGTGCAGGTGCAGGCACTGCTACCACCTCCTTGCTCCCACTAGCAGCAGAAGACTCATTGGTGCCAGGAAAGAGGGTGTGTGTCTATGTTTGGGGTGGAAGGAACTCGCAGCTCTCCCTCTGTCCCCTCTCCCCTCTCTGCCAGAAGACCTGGCACCTGCCTTTCCAGCACGCTTCGTAATGTTTGGTGTGCTGCAAAATGCGTGCATGTAATATATGTTGTGCTTTCCTGCACAGTGATGACACGCTGTCAGGGAAAACACAGATTTCTTTTTGTAGGGGGAAAGAATCAAGACAGACTAACAAGAACAAATAAGAGGATTGGGGGGGGGGAGGAGAATGAGTTGAAAGGAATAAATAGGGATAACAATAGGGATTGTAGGCAAGGGTAAGTAGGAAAGGATTGGATACAACTTACAAGAAGAGAGACTACCTAGCAAGAGACTAAGCCTTTCAGAGGCTGCTGCTCCAAGAGACAATTCACCAAAGGCACAGATCACTCCAGACACAGAGAAACACCACAGTCATCGGCCAGCTACAGGTGTCAAAATCAGAGCAGTCTTTCCCCCAGCCTTTTCCATATATGGAAGATCACCCCCTTCCCTCTCCCTCTTACCAGTTTGTTTGCGGCAAGCCTTCCAAATTTCTGAATTGATTTGGAGGCTTCTGATTCGATTCGGATCTTTTAATCGGTCTCCTAATTTGATTCAGATTCAGAGATTCAGCTGCCCAATCTCCTCTGAATCAAATCGGCTACTAAAGCTTCGCACAGCCCTAGTAGGCAGGCCAGATCCAGACCGGAGGGCTTCTCACTGCAGCTGCCAGAGCCACTGTGCTGGCCTGACCAGCATGCTGGGATTAATGCCACTGCCATTCACAATCCCCACCCCACCCCAACTGATGATTTGTGTTCTCAGTGACAATCCAAAACTGGAATTGCAGTAGATAAACACAGAGATGGCTCCACAGAAGTGGAACAGTCCAGCACAGAGCAAACAGGCAACGTATGTCCAATGTATAACATACATAGTAAATGCTTTAAAAAAATACAACCCACCACTTTAAAAAAAATGTGATCTCTAAAGTCTCTAGCTTTGAAAGACTAGCCATATAGTAAGCGGTACTTAATATTTTAGAACTGCTAGCTAAACAAGAATTAAGTACATTGCATTTATTAAAAAACAATTCTTACTTTTCTGGTTTTAGGTCCCTGTATATTATTCCAAGACTATGTAGATGATCTAATGCAAGTGCTAATTCAGCCAAGTAGAATTTAACATCTTCTTCTGTGAACATCACCTGAAAAAGCAAAATAATATATTTTATTAATCCAAGCATACAAATTCCAATGCGCATCACCTGAACAAGCTGAGTCTAGCACAGCACTCTTTCCCTTAATGGGACTTCAGTTATTCTGATAAAATACCCTCATTTCAAATTTCTGGACTAAGCAAAATTTGTATAGTTTTCTTTTAATGTATGCTGTGTATTTCTCTATGTATAAAATGACACTTCCTGAAACAGATGCCTCATCTCCTTATCTTTTTTTCCTAAATGAAGATTAAATCTTCTATAACTGAAAACAGTAATGCATCTTTAGAATTACACACAGGGAAAGTGTACTATGCACAGTGCTGGAATCACAGAATTCTGGGAACTTCTTAGACAAAAGCATCCACTGGGTTAGTGTCTCTTTAGACACTTTGCCTGGGCCTTCTTTATAATTAAAGCATGGAACCCTAACTTTGACAGGCAGCAAATGGATTTTGGCAAAGAAGAATGACAAATCAACATAGTACGGTGGAACGTTGCTATCATTTTAAATAAGAATTTAGGAGGGAAGGACTTAATACCTTTTTCATAGAGCAAAGTTAAGGGAGAGTTCGATGTCAGGAGGCTGAATCTTACCTTGCTCACTTTGTGATGCTACTACTAGAGGTGGACTAATATATTGGTCGCATATTAGACTGGCATCAATAACAGGAAAACTAACATTACTGACAACTGGCTTTTTTTTTGACTGATAGTTAGGGCTGTGTGACACAGCTATATTGTGATTCGGTTTCGGATTAAGCCGTTATGGAGGGACGGTGATTTGTTTCAGTGTTTCGGATCACTGTTCTGTTTCGATATGGCCAGATCTGTTTCAGAGCTTCCACACCGTTTTGGTGATTAGAAACATAGGCTACAATGGGGAAATCACTAAAATGCCCATAACTTTGTCAATTCTTGCCTGATTCGGATGAAAACTGCAGGGATGGTAGCTCCTTCAGGGGGCATGAAGCTTGCCAAGTTTCAAGGAGATGTGTGCAGGGGTTCTGTGAAACTGCACCTCAAACTGTTCAAAGCAAAACTTGCATAACTTGTTGGCAGCAGCAGCATGCTGTCATCCCGTACACAGATTTGGGGGTCCATGCCTGCCAAGAGGGCTGCAGGGCTGTACCAGACTCCTCCTGAGGGGCAAAGGTCCCTGGATCTGCATACAGGATGACAGCAGGCTGCCACTGCTGGCTGGGACTGAGTGCCAGGAAGACTGGTGCTGCTGTCGTCCCTAGCTGGCAGCAGCAGCATGCTGTCGTCCCACACACAGATCTGGGGGCCCATGCCCGCTAGGAGGGCTGCAGAGCCGTGCCAGACTCCTCCCAGGGGGCATGCCCCTCCAGATCTGCATGTGGGATGACAGCAGGCTGCTGTCCCTCCCTCACAGCACTGGGATTGGAAGGGTTCTCAGGGACAGACTGCAGACACTGGCCAGCTACAGATGTCAGTATCAGAGCAGTCCACGCCCCCCCTTCTCCCTCCCTCCTCTTAATTTGTTTCCTTCCAAGCCCAGCTCTGAAACCTCTCCAAAATGAAATGAAACCATCCAAAACGTTTTGTAATGTTTCAGAGAGGTTTCAGAGCATTTCCGTTTCATTTCAGATTTGGTGTTTCAGGTGCTGAAATGGGCTAAAACACCTCCGAAACGAAACGGCTGCTGAAGTTTCAGGCAGCTCTACTGACAATGTCACTGATAAATGCCATGCACAGCCACAGCATGCACACGGCCAGGAATGCAGCCTGGTAGCTAGGGGGGAGTGAGGGGGAGGACAGGCGGGCAGGAAAGAGAAGGAGCACGGGGATGGCAGATCGAGGCCCCATGGTGAGGGAAGGAGTGAAGCAGGGGCAGGCGCTACCCAGCCAGGACAGTTAATGCTACCCCAGGGCAGGGAGCAGGACAGAGCCGCAGCCAGCTTGTTCAGGGGGTGTGGGGGGTGGGAACTGCAGCTCTCCGCTGTTGTGCACACCCCTGGGGGAGGCACGTGGCTCCTGGATTTGTGCATGGGGTGAGGGTTGGCTGCCTGCTGCAGGCTCAGAGCCAGGGGCTGCACTTGGAGGGGTGGCTACAGGGAAATTTTGGGGTAGCTACAGCCTTCCAAGCCTACCCTAGCACCGCCCCTGCTTGGGGCACTCACTCTGGTGCCTTTCCTTCAGGAGCCCCCTGCCGCAGAGTGGGCAGGGGACGTGTGGCCAGGGCAGGGCTCCTGAGGGAAAGGCAACAGAGCAAGTACCCTGAGCTGGGGCAGTGCTAGAAGGGACTTGGAGGGCTATAGCCACCCCAAAATTCCCTGTAGCCCCCGTCCCAGTGCCACCGCTGCCTGCCCTGTAACAATAGGAACATATCCATTGGATTCTTTAGAAACCCTGCATCTGTAAAACTGCTGAAGATGGAGAAGCCACTGATGAGAAGGTAATATAGTGCAGTGCAAGCACAAAACAGTGAAATAACTTTTTTGAGGTTGAAACTAAACATTAACCATTCACGAGGCAACACCTGAATAAGAGGAATGGGACAATTCATACTTTACAGTGTTTATTTTAGGCCATCTACAAAAGAGACACCACTGCATGAGCTGCATACTTTGAAACATTTGTTTCTTAAATAGACTGGCAAAAATAGGAGTCTAGGAGCAACATGGGTAAACTGCCTGCCTGCTTGTGCCATCTCCTAAATTATACAACAACCACCTCACAACAGGACTACCAACAGGCAATAGAAGATCCTGGATTAAAAATATTTTTAAAGTATGCTTAAATTTTGAAGAGAGAGGCAAGGATTGTTTTTTGGGTGATATCTTTTATTGGAATAATTACACAGCTGGGATAAAGTTAGATGAGCTTTGACTGCAAGGCATTTTTCATCAGGTCCTCATTGGGAATTAAAAATATTATTCATGTAGGGATTGATCTAGTTTGCCAATATAGATAACTTAAACACCACATTAAATATGCTTGGCATAATTAACTGTTTACCTCTTTGGATAAGCGTGTAAACAAGTCTCCTCCCCTGAGAAAATCCAGAATAAGATACAGCTTCCCTTCTGTTTGAAAAGCTGTAAAGATCCATTAAAACATTTTTATTAAGCAGTTTTTTTAAGTTATCCATTATGAACAAAAGAACAAGTTTATCAGAATTTACTGTTGTTCCTATATCCAAAAACATTTTCTACCCATGGTGGATGATGCTCATTTAAAATATTAAAAGACAGTTCACAGTGCCATAGCAAGGAAGCGTGGTGCCCTGGACAAACTCGCAGTGGCAACCTGCCCTGGTCCTGCACACAGATCCAGGGAGCACATGCCCCGCCCCATGCTTGCTCAGGAGTGCACACAGTGGCAGGAGCTGCCCTCCCCCCATCCCTGAGCTCCCCTGGACAAGCTGCTCGTGGCTCCATCTTACGCCCTGCCCCGGCTGGGCAGCGCCTGTTGGCATCCCTTCACTTTGGTACCCGATGCAGTTGCCCTGCTCACCCCTCCCCCCTTGCTATGGTACTGACAGTTCAGATTACCTAAAAATGAGTCTGTGTCATATCAGAAGAAAAAGTAAAGGCAGATCACCAATGAAAAACAATTTCACATCCTCTTTTTTGATAATAAAAAACTCTAGTTTGTGAAACAGCAGACTAACAAATTATATTCATAGTTGGTTTGGATATTTCTGGATATTCAGTTTTATAAGAAGATCTAGTACTGTGTACAGTTATCATACAAGGAGAGTTGTGGAAGCTACATAAATTAAGCAATTTAAAATTGGAATGGGCAAAGAACTGAAGTAGGCTATACTGAATAATCCAGTCTTGAAAGGGATATTATCAACTTAAAAATCACAGGTCTGAACATTCAGAGTATACTATTTTAAACCAAGCCTACAATTACCAAAACTGAAAGATTAGAAGAAACAAACTACAAGTGAAATTGCCTTTTTCAGTTTACTTTGTACCGTTAACAACAGATGCTGTATACCAGTGAGGGCCTACCATTTTGGTAAGCATGCCCTAAATTAGCCCTCCACCCTCACAGGGTGCTACTCCTATCCCTTCACCTGCCCAATCGGCTGCTCTGCTTTCATCTTACTTCCTCGAGCTCCCCATCTACTACTCTGCTTTCTGCCTTATCTGCCACCGTGCTGCTTGCTTGTCCCTTCCCTTGTATACCAAGAGCCACACACAGACCTCCCATGCCACCTGTGGTGTGTGGACCAGGTTGAACCCTCCTAGTCATTTTCAGTACTTCCTCTGAACATGTTATGGTCCAATCTAGTTACTGTGGCAATCAACAGGAATCTTTACTAATTCACAGGAATGGAACCCAATCCTTTGCTTCGTACTGGTCTTCAGAGAGCAAGTCCTGGATAAGAAAGCATTTTAAAAAGCGGAAACAATGGTAGCCAAAGAATAGAGAATGAACTCTTTTTACAGAACTACCTAGATTTCAACTGATGATTGTTACACTTATGAAATAATGGACTACACCACATTTTTCAAAGACTTGTGCACATGGTTAACAAATACACCCAGTGATTTGTCTGATCAAGTTCAAAGCAACTATCGAACTTATGTAAAAGCTAAACACATGCAATAAGGCTTTGCAGGATCAGGGCCCAGATAACCAACTGATTTCTATAATTTTTCTGAACACATACTTGAGTGGCAGATAGACAAGATTTCTTATTAATAATATGTATGACAAACATTGCATCTTTTATATATCTTACCATAATGTAACTTGACAATGAAAGGATGATTAACTTCCACTAAGATGTCACGTTCCATTTTAGTCCGAACCCGATCTCGAACTGTAAAAAAGGCAATGAACACAAACTAGGGTTCATATTGTGAGCAAACTTCCTCCCTACCCCATTATTTTGGCAATTTCTTTTGTACATTTTGGCTTTATTATTGTAACTTTCTGTAGCTCCATAAAATCCTTACAGAGAAGATTTGTGACTGTTGTGAACTTCAAAATATTCATAGTTTTTGAAAAAATATAAACATTGATTTACAAGAAGAAAACAAGGTAACGGAACTAGGGATGTGAATGGTTAAATGATTAATTATCTAACCAATAAGGCCACTGATAATTGGTGGCTTACCAATAGCTTATCAACGATAGTTTACCAATTATCATTTAGAGCAGGGTGAGGCACTGTCCATCATGGAAGTGCGTTTGGGGGGGTGGGGGGTGGAAATGGGAAGGGAAGCCTCATGGTACCCCAGCAGGAACTGGAAAGCAGCAAGGCAGGCAGGAGGGAGGAAGGGAGGAATGAGGAGGGAAGACAGACTAGTACCTATAGATAGGCTCTGTAGTGTAGTTGCTTGTACTCTCCCCACCACCTACCATGAGCAGCCCAGGATGCTCGCAGCAGGGAGTAAGGATACTGCAAGCGGCTGCACCAGGGTCTGGGAAGCCTAGCTATTAGGTACTAGGTTCCTCCTCCCCCGCACTCTGCTCTTCACAAGTAAGCAGCTCAGCTCCCTCTGGGAGCCAGACCAATTAACTGTTTAACCACTGTAATTACAACAAGTTAAAAGGATATTTTTTAAAACAGTATTTACATCCCTAAGAGAAACAAGAATGCATTTAAACTACACCAATATAAACAACTTTATACCATTAAAGTCACTCTTATTTATTTGGAGTTTTGCAACCTATGGTAAAAAGGACACCCACCCAATGTTTTGGGCATCCTTACAATTTTAGAAATATCTGCCAAAATAAGATAGATAAAGCTTCACATTTGAAGTTTCTCACTATCTAGAACACAGATAGGGAGGGGCCTACCAAATTCACAGCAGGAGTGGGCTGTGCAGCAGCTCCTCTCATCCTGAAGGTTCCCCTGCATGCTCCCCACCGCTGACTGGTGGAGGAGCCCAGCTGCTTGCTCCTGAGCAGTAGGGAGGTAAAAACTGCAGTTTAAAATATGGTGCTTTTTTGCTGCTGATTTGTGAGGGGTCAGGGGTGCCTGGCAGCCCTCTTATCTGTTGCTGACAGGCAAGGAGGCAAAAACAGTACCATATTTAAAACTGTGATTTTCACTTCCCTGCTGATTGGGAGTAGGGGGAGGGGGTAGAGGACGCATGCAGCAGAGCTTACCCCGGCAGTGGGGTCTGTGGCTGTCCCTGTAGTGCTCCCCATGGAGCCAAGCCCCACTTGGAGCAGCCTATGCCACGCTCTGGCCTGCATTCACCAGCGTGGCCCCAGTCAGCACGCACATCTTCCAGCAGGGCTGCTCCCAGTGTGGCTGCAGCTACCTGGATGCTGCTCTGCTCCCCTTGCCTCTAGCTTCCAGCTGCCTTCTACCCACTTTGTCTGCCCAGGACCACGAGCAGCCACCTCCAGGTGCCGGCTGGAGCGTGATACATGCTGCCTTGGGCAGGGCTCGGGTCCACGTGAAGCACCACAGGGCCAGCCATAGACTGCACTGCCTGGCCGAGCTCTGCTGCATGTGCCCCCGCCCCTTCCCCCTACTCCTGATCAGCAGGGAGGCAACAGTTATATAAGTAACAGTGGCATTTTTGCCACCTGACCAGTCAGTAACAGACGGAGTTGCCAGGGCCCCTCAGCCAACCAGCAATGAGTAACAAAAAAGGCAGTTAAAACTGATTTTTGCCCCTCTGCTGCTCAGGAGCAAGCAGCAGGCCCTCTCCACCAATCAGTGGTGGGGGGTACACAGGGGAACCTTCAAGATTAGAAGGAGCTGCTTCACAGCCCACTCCTGCCATGAATTTGGTAGGTCCCTACAGACAGGATTAGATACAACCATTACACCTTTCACACAGTGGGCAAATCATGGGTTTTTGTTTGTTTATTTTGTTTTACTTTTTTCTGAACCTGTCAATAATATACAAATGGATGAAAAAAAAAGTGACCAAAAATTACCATTTATCTACTAAGTTACCAAGTTTTTATATCCTCAGTGAATAGATTACTGAACGTTCAGTGCACTTAACTATTATGGGCTACTGAGCTCAGAAAGGATTTCTATATTTCAAGTTTGACCTTTACATCAGGAATCCTCAAAAAGGTCACAAAAGTTATTTGTGGGATTGCATCTGTTCAAGCACACGGCTTTCTACTTCAGTTCTTTGTATACAATAAGCCTATAGGATTGGTATAGCCCTGTTCTCTCACTCATGGGTAAGTACTGAAAGATGATAAAAGCCATCCTTCAATAAAAGAGGAGTGCTGATTAGTAAGCTGGACTCTGTCTTAGACCTGTTTATTTCTGAGCCCACTCCAAATACCCATAGGTTGGGCATGTTACAATTAATTCATTCTAGTTTCTAAAACTGCACCCCTGTTAAAAAGTTCTCTCCTATACTCTATATTTGAGAGAAATAGAACTGTTTGCAATTAGCAAGCAGTCTTAAAGGATATCATTATCACTGATTTTGGATTAAGAGATGCTTCCAAAAAAAATAAAAGATGCAATACAGCTTGGGGAAACATAGCACACACTCAATTTAAGACATGATACAAGACAGCCACAATAATACTGCACATTAAATGTGGAACATCTTTGTGGCTGGTTTGCCATTTGTCTGCACCTTCAATTGGCTGAACATGTAGCATATTATAATTTATGGGCAATTAACATGTTAATCACACCATAAATATGTCTGCCAGGGCCTGGGAGAGAAGTCTATTGCTTGCTGTTTAAATTCCCCTTCCCTCCGCAAAGCAGGATGTGAATAAAGCCAACTACCCCACTGAAGGCTACAGGCATCCAGGAGAATCCAAGATTATCAAAACTACCTAATGGATTTAAAATGGATGGAAACCAATTTCTAAACTCTGTGAAGATTTAACTGGAGCTACCAGAGAAACAATATCCTTTGTACCACAGGTCCAATTTAAAATGTTAACGTAACAATTCATTCAAACACTCAATATCCACCAGTTTCAGCAAAAAGGAGAGAGTCAGTTGAAAGCTGCTACAAAGCCATGACTGAAAACAAATAAATAAATGGAGGCACAAGGTAGAAATACACTTGGAGAAAAGGACATTATACAGCCTTTTATTTTTCATCTTGCACTTGCTCAATTCTTAAGTGTCAGAATCTATGACAGCTTACATCTCGGTGTGACTTATTTTCAACTGAGTTATGCTATTCTGTTTTTATTTCTTCTGGCAACAACTGCAGAATCTGAAACAAAAATACAACCTGATACTCCACACGAATCATAAAATGTGTGTGTATTAAAGAAAAGGAAAGGAAAATAAATTCTTCCTTGAAATTTTGGCCACAACAGCAAAATAGGTTTTTCTATATGCATCTTATACAAACACTGAGACAAAAACAAATCAGAAAAAATATTGGACTATACATAACATAGAAACTCCATTTAAAAAAAAATCTAAATGCAATTGTTTTAACAAAATTTTTTTGTACTCCCATACAAAAATAATGCCATTCTTCATGAACCCTTCTATTTAACCTCTAACAAAAGCTATATTAAAGTAATAGTGAAGGATGCATACACATCAACAGAAAACCAAGAAAATTCAGAGTCAAGGTTCAAAACATAAATCTCTCAAAACATTCATATATGTCTGGGTAAGTAATTTTTGGGAGGACACCAATTACCTGGTTCTTAACATACACCACAGTAATCAAATCCCTGCTTTAAATACTGATCTTAACTATAAACCAAAAGTACTCTCTCAGTAATACAGAACAGTAGCTAGAAGGTTATACAGTACTGAGATTTCCACCCTTTTCCTGAAGATTATTGTGACCGTGTATGAAGTACACCTGGGACAAAGGAAACAAAAATAGCTTCTCTTCATATAAAACTTCATATATATAATCCTGAAATTCTTTTTTTCCATGAAGAGTGAGATTGTGTGTTCAAAGAACCTCACTTTGTTTAATTCAAAACAAACAGGCGCCAGAATAGATTTTTAAACATCATACCCAAAACTGGGTAGGGCACTCAGCCACTTTAAGCAAAAGGTATGAATTTCATACACAAACCTACATAGCATTTGGAGAGGAAAAAATATATACAGCCATGTTAAAATGACTAAGTTGTCAGCACCAAATTCATGGAGCAAAAATAATGATGAAACATGATTACTGTTGGGACAGTGTTAACAGGCAGAAGGCCAAGACTTCCATTATAATCATCTTTATTTTATTTCATTTTACAAATACTGGATTTCATTAGAATTGTTTTTTAATTCTTGGTAGCCAATAAAGTAATCATAGTAAGGTAACCTGAATTTTTCATAGAATGAAACTTGTTCTTAAAAAATAATATGAATGTAGTATCCTCAGGCATCAAATATAAATATAATAAAAAACCAACATTTTTAAAGGCTATTTTTGTAAAACAGGACAATGTTTTGTAAAACAGGACAATGTTCAACAAGGTCCTTATAAACAGTGTATCAAAACAGTGGTCTGAAAAAGATTTTTTTAAAAGTTTGGCACAACATACATCACCTTTCAGAAATATCTACTTTAACTATCACTTACCTTTCAGCGTGGCCTTTCTTAAAACCTTCATTGCATAAAGTTGTCTAGCATCCGACCCTGAGATTTTTTTGACAAGAAATACCTGTGTTTAACACATTAAAAAGTTCTTAATGAAAACAAAGCTAAATCAGGTAACTAAGCTTCAGCATACAATACAATAGCAACAGATGAATTTTGTTGAGATAACTGTTAATTACAAAAATAGTTCCATCAGTTGTAATTGACCATTCGATTTTGTCCACTTTTATACTGCTTGTATAACCTGAACACAAATTTCTCTGTGTCCCTTTAAATGCGTCTCATTTTAAAGTTTTACAGTTCTGATTGCTTACAAGGTTAACACTACAAGCATTTTAAAACAAAAATTAAATATTCAAACATATTAGAAACAATGTTTCCAAATATTTAGTTGGTCTAATAAAAGATATCACATCTACCCAAAGAACCTCATCTGTCCCTTAGAAACAAATTAAATCTGGTGCCCATATTTTTTCTGGAATTGCTCTAAATTGTTTAATATTTTACTGAAATTTGAGAGACATTAACATAATGAAAGCGACTATAAAACAACTGTGCAATGTACCATAGATAAGTTGAAGTGTTAATCCACTCCTGCATGCCACCCATCTTGCTTGGTTGCGACTGCCCCAGCCTCACACCCTTGTCAGAGCCCCTCCCCCCCACATAGACCAGGGATGGGAAAGATGTGGCCCACCAGGCCATTCCATCTGTCCTGCAAGGCCCCTAAAAAATTTAGAAAATTAATATTTATCTGCCCCTGGCTGCCTGTCATGCGGCCCTCAATGGCTTGCCAAAACTCAGTAGGCGGCCCTCCACCCGAAATAATTGCCTGCCCCTGATGTAGACCCTAGTGGGGAGAAGGGGGTGATCCATTCCTCCCTCTGCCTGCCCCCTGTGCCATCGTCAGCAGCAGGGCTGGGGAGCAGAAGCTTTGCTGCTTCAGCTCTGTGACAGGCTGGGGGCATGGCCACGTGGCTCGGCCAGAGCAGACAAGCTAGGGTAAACGCTAGCTTGTCTGCCTGCTGGGGAAGTGGTGGTGGTGGTTAGCAAGAAGACATCCTAGGATTCAAAGGTAATGTGACCTAACTTGTGTCAGGAACGTATCTGGAACAGAAGTTTGATAGACCAATCTAACCTAAAGTGATTACATCTGATACTACATCCATTCAGGTCTACCTTAGACTGCTTTCAAAATGGCAGAATCTAGTTTATGTGCACTGAACTTCTGTTCCATTACAGGTTTGGACCAGTTTCTGATAACTGGTTTATGCATCATTTCTGTCCTTAGCCTCTATGTTTAGTAACAAAAAGTCAAATATGTTTGTTTGTTTTTTGTTGGTATTCACTTGAAACTATACATCAACCAGATGTTGAAAGGTCAAAGGACACAACTATTTAAGGAAGCAAATTTAATTCCTGTGGAGCATACTTTTGGGTCCAAATTCTTTTATACCATTAATCAATCTGTATTATTACAGCAGTAAAGTTTAGAATCAAGCCCTCTCAACTGATTTAAAATGCTAGTTACATTTCACATTAAAAAGTCCTGGGTACACTTTTGTCCAATTTTCTCTGTTTAGTATTAGGGGGTAAGGATTCTCCCGTTGACACTACGGAGGATTTCTCTCTCATTTTTCTCAAACATGACTCAAAAAATATTGGGGGACTAAGTTCAACTATAACAACAAAAATGAAGGAGTTGAGATCATCACTGTGTTAGCCTTCAAGTTCTTTATCCCAAGTGACTCAACTGTATCCTGCTATTAGATTTTCACATAACAAATTGGGTTGGACCCTTTCATAAAGTCAAACATATCAGAAAGAATCCCAGAGTTGGTGCCCATACCAGTGTCTCAGTACTGTTTGTGCTTTGTACAATGGGATTCCAATCTTGGTAGAGTTCCTATATGCTGCTATACACGCAAGTACTAACAATGCGACCCTGAAGCTACACTTTTAGTTTAACTGCACATACAAATCACTTATATTGATTTATAGGCCTTGTTAAGAATTAAAGCCAAGAAATTGTGTTTCACCTACAAAACTGATCTTTCTACTCTCATGTTTTGTTAAGAAGCATTTATTTAGAGGATGGCTGTCTAAAAGAACTTCGTGTCTTGGGATACAGACAAATATACATTTTAAAGGGAATTCAAGAGAAGACGGCAAGCTGCTGTTCAGATTATTACACATGCAGCAACACAACTGTGGCAAAAAGAGCTTCAACTTTACCCTGACTTACCCAAGGTCAAAGTTAGTTCAAATGTAGCTCATTTATATCAGTACTGGATCACATGTACGCAAGTTGCAGCATAACAGTTACCACACCAATGATTTTTAAAAAGGGTGCCAGGGCACCCAAGGATACCATGAGTTCCTTTTAGGGTGCTATGGGACACTGTGAAATATTAGCACTGATAGGTGTGCAAACACCTACACATGATTTGCAAGATAAACCCAGAGATATCCAACAGGAAGCCATAGCTTCTAATCTAACATCTTCCGACTGCTGTGCTCCTTGAGTTCTTTGCAACAAAAGAACTGCCGTATTGTTTTTTCTGTAATCAAGGAACAAGTGAAAGCTTAGAGCTGGCATTTTTTTGGCATGTGCCTTGAGTCTAAGAAGGCTGAGAACCACTGTAATATGGGCTCCCAAGTAGCAGCTTTCCTGCTCCTTTTGAAACTGCTTCAGGTGTGTGTCCAAACCTTCTACTAATTCAGTTAGGTATGGACAGGATGTCCTTAACTCAGTAAAGAGAGGTAGTAACTTTGGGTTAGATCCAGTTCAGTTTCTGAGGTGCTTACGTTTAGGCAATGGAACATCCAAAACCTGTCCCCCACAGCAGCAACCCAAATTTAACCTGATATAAGCACCCCATACAGTCAGTGAGATTTAATTATTCTGAACAGCCACATAAATTTGACTGGGCTCAGGGACACAGGTGTTCTATACAGAGAATAGAGATTGTTTGTTCCTCCAGAGGAAGGTCAATAGAAAACGTTAAGCAAAAGGGGTACATTCAAATTTTTTGAAGCAGAGATGCCTGAACTCATCCTGCACATTGGGTGCTCTTATTTACTTGCCATGCAAGAGCTCCTGCTCCCACTTCTGAGTGTAGGTAAGTGGTACTAACTGATTAGTGGTAGCAGTACTTCCTACTTTTGCCCAATAGCCTTATAGTTAGAGCACTCGCCCAGCAAGTGAGAGGCTTGGCTTTGAGGCTGTGCAAGGAAAATCCCCTAACTCAGGGGTTACAACCTACAGTCTAGATCTGGCCTGCAAAGAGACAGGATCCAGCTCATCTTTTAAGAACGGCTGGCTAATCCCTTGCTTCCCCCTAATCCAGACCATATTTTACTGATGGCTGGCTGATCCTGGCTGCTGCTCCAGTCCTCTATCCCAGTGGTTCTTGACATCATTAGACTCAAGGACCATCTTGTTACAGAGAAGGAAAATAGAGCATTTTTTTCTGTTACACAGAACTCAAAGACCACAACAGGGCAGAAAATTTTTGACACTACAGATTCTTATTTGAAACCTCAGGGTTTACCTTATGAATACTGTGTAGGTGTATGCACTCCACAGCACCCTTAGAAGGATCTTGTGGTACCACAGTACTCTGGTTGAGAACCACAGCTCCAGGAGGAGGCTGCTCTCACCCCCCATCCCTGCAGCATCTGCTCATTAATGCTGGGAAATTAGCCATTCCAAATACTTGCTTGCAACAGTGACCAGAAGCTGCAGTGGGGGAGGGGAGGCCTCTGCAAAGATGACCTAAAAGTGGCAGCTGTAGATCAGCTGCCCATAGTGACAACTGGCTTGCAAGGGAAGGCCTGCCTTTATAAAAAGGATTCTGCCCCTGCCATAAGCACTACAGCTAGAGAATAGTTTGGGTGGGAGCAGCGCCTCCTGCCTGTTGAAGTTAGACTACTCTGCAACTACGAAGAGTCATGGGACCAAAAGAATAAGGGAGAAGATGCCTCTGTAGCCATGGGAGAAGAATGTTATGGGTTATTTTTATTTTTAAACCAATGGCTGTAACATAACAACATAAAAAGGTTCATTAAAGCAGGAAAGCCCTTACAGATGGGCTACTGTAGACTGAGAGGTAGGCCTTATACCCTAACAGCAGAGTTGAGTAGTCAAATCTACAGCTGTCTATAAAATTAATTATGGACAAGTCTATACCGACAGAAGACATTCTAAGAAACACCTCAATACAGCCTGGCACACCTACTCCAAGACTGCTGTGCTTTTAAAATGCTGCTGAATGCTGAGCAAACTGTCTCAGGCCTGCTTATTGCTGCATGCTCACTGCTCAAAAGGCAGCTATATTGCATCCATCTGAGGTATCGTGGGTATGCCCTGCACACTCCCTAGCTCAGCCTCTGGCTGGTGCAAACATGCCTTAAAGGTCCTTTTGAGGTCTGCATAGTAACAGAACTGAAAAAGCAATTTACAGATTTCAAGAAAATGTCCGACACAATGAGAGTTCTTGGCAGTAAAGCTTATTTTAAAAAGGTGTCTGGATCTGTAACTGTACTTGAATGGAAACATGCAATTACTCAAATATTTTACCTTTATTGCTGTCCAATTTCAGGTCTTCTGAATATCCTTTTTATAACCCTCTACAGAAATCTATACAACAGACCTACCTTTCCAAAAGATCCTTGTCCTAGTACTTTAAGAAGTTCAAACTGTGAAGGGTCTGCTTTCTCATGTCCTTCCTTTACATGATGTGTTATTGCTATTTCTTTGATAGTGCCTTCTTCCTAGTATGGAAAAACATAAGAAAAAAACTACAGATTAATGTCATACCTTCCCAAAAGTTTGATTTAGTCACAAACCTCAGACAAATTAACCAGCAACAGAAAAAAAGAAGGTCTACAATTAGGTCTAACCTGGTGTATTTTGCAAGAAACAGCAATGTTATGCAATTCTATGGATACTATCTCTGTGCCTAAAGGATGCAGAAATAAGTATCAAGACAACATACTAAACAAAACATGCCATGCTGAGATTTTTGAGGAATATTTTTGACAAGAAAGATTTGGACTATGTTTTTTGAGAAACTGAATCATCTAAATACAAGTTCATTGACACTTACATCAATAACAAATTAATAATAAGACAGTTTGACATTTTTTGTTTGTGTTAATTTTTGCTTCTGAATTCAATATTCACTATCTGTCTTGCTAAAGGAAGATACACATCTGAAAATTTTAATAGTTTACACAGAAGTCATCTCAGAAAACCAACTAATCAGTACTCATAACTACGGTATTTTAGGTGTTAGTTTTAGTTGCTCAGGTTAAAATAACTAAGAAAAATGCACTGGGGCTCATTGTGCTCTACTATAACATTCAATACATCAGTCCAGCAAAGTTGAAAATTGTCTAATAAAACTTTTGAATACCAACAAAGCAAGACAGAAATCAAGTGTAATTGCCTTTGGAAGCAACAAATTTCTACTCAGTATCATGGTATGTCTAGTTCACTACTTTCCATTTTAAGAGTTGTGACAAGTAAAAGGTGAGAATATTCTTCATCCATGAAAATAATCCTTTCTTGAAAATCTGTTTAAATTACAAATGCTTGAATACAAATCTGTTAGTCTGAAAAACTCTTGGTGGAATACGAAAAGGAGCACAGAAGTGATATGAGAACATTTCTTAGCAACAATAATCATTAACTACATTCTACTGTTGCCCTCCAGTCTAATTATGAGAAATATTTTTATTATATACTTTAAATCAATTTGAGAAGTTCTATGAGATTCCTTGTTAAGCAACTTCATGATCCCCTGAATTGTTCATTACTGTAGCTATAAAGCACTATTTATTGTCAATACAATTACAATTTTCATAGATTTCATAGATTTTTAGGGTCAGAAGGTACCTCAGTAGATTGCATCCAACTCCCTGCCCTGGGCAGGAAAGAGCACTGGGGTCAGATGACCCCAGCTAGGTGCTTATCTAGTTTCTTCTTAAAGACCTCCAAGATAGGGGAGAGCACCACCTCCTTTGGAAGTCCATACCAGATTGTGGCAACCCTTACTGTCATTTTTATTTGTTTATGAAAATATTTATGTAACTTAGTAGTAAATACAATATAAATTAAGAAAAAATGTAGATATTTAATTTACTAGATATGAAGCAAAAATAAATCACTGACTATGGATTAATGACAACTGGGCCAGATTTAGCCAACTGTTCGCCCTCCTTAAGGATTTCCTGAACCTGTGGTCTTCTGATGAACCTCTTAATGGTTTTTCTTCTGTAGTTCTGTTTTGAACTGACATTTAGTGAATAAACCCCAATATTCGATATATATGTGTTACAACAAAGGATGTTTCGTAACGTCAATGTGGTGTGGACATCATTAAAAGGAGTATGACTTACTGCTTCTACCATACTGCAAGTTTTATCACAGCATTATGAAAGGGCAAATTGACCTAGATGGGATTCTTGGAACTATGCCATCCTACATGTCCCATGTTAAAACTGCTGCCATTTTAAGCTGTCTTTGGTCTGTAAAAGCTTTTAAGTTCTTACATTAACTGTGGCATACATTCCTAATATTTATATAACTGTTTTCATAAAAATAAGCTTCCCCCTTGCTTGATCTGATGACAAGCAATTCTAGGTAGGGCCAAAACAAAAATAATTGGGGTTTTTTTGGTCTCATTCAGTTAAAAGCTAGAGAGGGCAATAGACCATGCAACATAAAAATATCAATTATTATAACCGTTATAACCATTGTTTGGGGGTCTGAAGCACACTTTGGCAGAGAATGTATGCATCCCTGTAGTATGTGATACATATGGATCTGAGCATACTTTACGTAATCCATTCCCTCCACCAATGCAGTAGTCTTGGTCACTAGTGGCACATTAGATCATCCTGTCACTAATTCTGATTTCCTCACAAAGGGAGGGAATCTTAGAAGAGATGGTATTTTCTGCTGAAATCAGGCCAGGGGAACTTTTAAAAATTGTTTTCAGTCATGCAAGGTACCATTTAAAAAAAATATTTAAAAAAAATCTCCCTAAGGACCCCAACTTTGTCATATGCAGACTGTGGAGTATTTGAGAAATCCAGGGTGGGTCAGTCCTGCAAGCAGCAAAGTTTATTTTCTTTCTGCATCTAAGAAGGAGAATATGCCATAGTTCAGACTGTTTGGTTTGGACAAAAACTTATTATACTGCAGATATAGCTACTAGTGGATTCAAATAAAGGTGAGAACCTGAAGTCTAAAGGCCTAAAAAAGCTTAAAGCCTGACTTTCAGAAGTCATACCAAACTACTTTAAGGCAAGTGGTGCCTGAGCAGTTAACAATTCTTCCATTTTTCTTTTCCTTTTCAAAAAGTGTTACCTTTGCCAACTACTTTTCATTTAGAAACGTCTCTAAATGTTCTAGAAGACAGTTCAATGATGCCACAAAATCAGATGAAAAAAAGGATAATCAACTTTTACACACTGACTGGGTCACACATCAAAAAATGGAAGTTCACTTAGTATTCAATGGACAGTTAAAAAGTTCTGGAGTCCACAATGAAGCTAAGTGTATCCTTACCCTGTAAAAATGGAGAAGAGTTGAACGGATTTCCTTTATTTCTCTTTTTGCAGCATGCAAGGTTTTCTCCATACATTAGAGAAGGCTACTTTACTTAGATGGAGACCTGGTTGTCCCCATGGTTGCTTGCGATGACAACTGCCTTTGCCTTTACAAGCAGGATAGTGGTCTGTCCTCTTACACACCACTTTTTTTGTGGGGCTTCACACTCCACAGGAAGGAAAGTACCTCCATGTCAGAAAAAGAACTTCAATGAATAACCTGAAGTTTTCTTCATCATCTCACATTAGCTTTAATATACAATAACAGCAAAATTATTAACTTAAAAAAAGAAAAAGATAGAGTGAAGTTTTTGCAAGGCTCTCTATACCAACAGGTTTTGTTAGGTAGTGGGGGTGAAGGGGAGGGAGAAAATAAACCAATCCTCCAAGAGTTCTGGAGCAATTCTGGCAGTTTCTCTTTAAAGGAAAGAGAAACATGAACCCCTTGAGTACACTTGGAACAAACAGATGACTAAAACAAGTTACCCAAGTTCATTAATTTGGTAGTAAATTAGCCAAAGATTCTTCTGAGAATGCACCCTACAAATTAAAATAAAAACCTCTTGAAGTAAGTAGAACAACTGATGAGGAAGGAAGGAAGGAAGGAAGGATGTGTGCACAAGTCCTCTCTTTCCATTCCACACCCTGGAAACATATCAGAGGTCTTTACTCATCAGGTAAATAAAAAGCTGTTACATGGAGAACCATAGCATCTGTTACATCTCAAAGCAGTGTGTTCTTTTGTAGCAAAACAGTTAAATATTTTAGACTATTTATATAGTCCCAAGTTAGGAGTTTGTATCCTAAAGATCCATCCATCAATTTTCATTAGGGAAATAATTTGGATATACACCATGGAAGAGCCTAACTAGTTAAAAAAATGAACATCTTTATTTAGACCATTTTTGAGACAATAATAATAGTTAGTCTTGCCTAGGTGGACCTGGGAATGATACCAATAATTAAAGTTACCCAACACTTCCTGCTTTAAATCCCCATTTCCAATTGCTTATACTCTTGGCCAAGCTAAGTGTCCATGCTAAAGGTTTCCAAGTTGGGTGTCCTCTGTAGGCCAAATTGTTTTGTTAAAAAGGTTCAGCTGTCTTAAGAATGAGGCTAAGGGGGGCTGGGGAGGGAGGAGAAAAAAAAATGGGGAAAAGAGTGTTGCACAGTATTAAACAAACAAAAAATTCTCACATCAGGTTAAACTTTTTATGCCTCCCACCTCTGGAGTAACAGGAAAGTCAGACCACTGTCAGAGATGTGTTTTTTGCTTTGCTCAGGAAAATATTCCCAAATTTGTCCAAACACATGAAAATTAATTTTTGCATACTTGGAAAACTGTTAAGCATCTGGGAGGGTCAAGCTCTCCAAGAACAGCATCCGTACTAAGCAGTCTCTTCCTAGCATGGTACTCGGTCATCTAAAGTTTTGACAGTCTTTTTCCTGTTCTGATGCATTTCATATCAAGATCGGGATCTAGTTTACCCAGTTATTAATGTGCAAGAATCAGAAAGGAACATGCTTCTGCCATTAATTTTCCCCTATTTATTTGTGGGGAAAAAATAAAACCCAATACCAATCATCCTTCACCCAATGTTTATGCAAAGACCACTTAAGGAAACTAGTGCTAAACTACAGACATCTCTTCTAAACACTGCTCCCCATATACATATGTGCACATACTGGAAACTGGGGGGGAGTGGGGTAGCGCAGGCACTAAGGCACACAGTTGATAGCTCAGAGGTTGCAAGTTTAAGGTCCTAACAGAAGTGCTCACAGCGCAGGCTTGTCAGTCCAACGAACATGCAAATTCTGTTAAATACCTTGTTACAAGGACATGAAAAAGGAAAAGGGAAGGATGGAAGTTAAAAACTTCTAAGCTGTCATGTAAAAAAATACTGTTATACACAAATACTAACATTCAAATAGAAACTAGAATCATAGTAACTTAAAACTTCAGTTCACCAGCTTCACTGTTTGAGTAGACTTCCCTCACTACACTGAAATAGAACATCTACAGACGCACAGTGAAACCTGTCCAAGACATAATCACACAGGACTATGAAACTATGGGACTAAGAAAAAGTTCCAGGTTAAACATCTTACAGGTGGAGCTTTCAAGCCTCTCTTTTCCCTGCTCACTCTCTTCATCC